AGATTATGGGATTCGGAATAGCCCTGGAGTCAGGGCTGAGCTGAGCCCCAAGGATTATACCATTGCGTTAATTAGGAACTTAACCCTGATTCCTGAAAGCAGTTTTCATGTGACTTTAGTGTGGCGGAAAAGGCCAGTAAACCAGGGTGTTTGTTACAGAGAGTGATTCATCCTGTATGACTCAGGAGAGATGCCGACCCACACATGGTCCTTTCAGATCTCTGGGGTGAGATGTGGTGGTGTCTGTTTTGCCACGTAGGTCAGCTGTGGAGTCTGATATTTGAGCCACTGGCATGAAGGGAACCAGCCATGGGTCTGGGGCCTGTGTAGTTCAGTCTCCTGGTTTTCCCACACCTCAGTTTGCAGGGCAGCTCTCTGACCTATAGTTTTATACTGAGTTTGCCTACTCTTTTTATTTTACTTACTTATTTTGAAGTTTATATTAATTTATTTAAACATTTTTAACTAAATGATGTGATTTTTCTACTTTTTAAAAAAGTAGTAAACATTATTTTTAAGAGTAGTATTAGCAAAATTGAGTGGAAACACGGAGATCCCATATATTCCTGCCCCTGTACATGCACAATGCCCCCCACATTAAACATTCCACACCAGAGTGGCACATTGGTTACAACTGATGAACCTGAATTGACACATTGTTATTACTCATTTGACATGAGGGTTCACTCTTGGTGTTGTACATTCTGTGGGTTTGGACAAATAATGACGTATATCCACCATTATAGTTTCATACAGAATAGTTTCACTGCTATAAAAATCCTCTGTCCCCTGCTTATTCATGCCTTCCTCCTCCCAACCTCTACCACCCACTGATCTTTTTACTGTCTATAATTTTGCCTTTTTCAGAATGTCATCTAGTTGGAATCATACAGTAGGTATGATTGGCTTTTCAGATTGGCTTCTTTTACTTAGTAGTATGCATTTAAGATTCCTCCATGTCTTATTATGGCTTGATAGCTCATTTTTCTTTTTTTTTTTTTAGTGCTGGTTAGTATGCCATTGTCTGGATGCATCACAGTTGATTTATCCATTCACCTACTGAAGGACATCTTGGCTGCTTCCAAGGGTTGGAATTATGAATAAGCTGCCCAGAACATCTGTAAGCAGGTTTTTGTGTGGACATAAGTTTTCATTCCATTTGAGTGAAGGTGAAAGAGTGTGATTGCTGAATGATATGCTTCCTAAGAGTATGTTTAGTTTTGTATAATTTTAAAAAAAAATATGTTTACTGAGTATGTGCCATATACCAAACATGGCACTAGTTGCCAATATATTATCATTTAATCCTTTTAGCAACCCTATAAAGTAGGGTTTTCCACTTTATAGGTGAGGAAACTCAGGCTTAGGAGGGCTAGGTAGCTAGTAAGTGACAGAGCTGGCACTTACATTCACCCCTCCTGATGCCAGACCTTTTCCCACTGCATCACGCCATCTCTGGAGACCAGCATGTAACAGAAGATGGCATCCATCCAGCTGGAAAGGGCTCATCCAGGAGCACCTCCTTCAGCTCACCGGGGATGCTCATCAGTTTATGAACAGCAGAAGGAAAGGGCTCCTTTCTCTGTGTGAAAGTTGTAGCCTTGCTCAGGTGCTTTTATACTTCCTGGATGCTCAGCCTATGTTGGCCTATTTAGGTTTAAACCGTTTTCATTCTAAACATTGTCAGACATACCCCAAAGAGACTAGGTTAGTCGGTCTTATACCTATCACTCAGGTCCTGGAATTACCAGGATTTTATCATTCTTGCTTTACCTATTTGTTTGTGGGGTTTTTTGAGGGGAGTGATTTTGTTAAATATACTGGGTTTTTTTTGGCAGAAAATTTTCGGTAAGTTTTGCCTTTAGCTCGTCTCCCTGACCTGTGTGGCATCTCTCCTTTCTTTGCATGAATTTCCCACCATTGTGTATCTCATAGTTACTGGGTATTTATTTTATGTAACAAATATTTATATAATCTTAACCATAGGTTACACCCTTTTCTAGGTACTTAACAAATATTAGCTTGTTTACTCCTCATAACAATCTTATGAAATAGATGTGAAAACTATTCTTCTTTTAGAGGTGATAAAACCAAGGCACAGAGAAGTTGAGTAACCTGCCCTGAGTCACACGGCTAGGAAGCAGGATAGCTGGCTTTCAAATGCAGGCTGTGGGGTTTTATAATCTGTATTCTTATTTGTCATGCTGTGGTAGATATACAGTAATTCTACAGCCATTGCCATAGTCTGTTCTCTGGTACTGCTCAAGGAAAAAACTAGAGGAAGGAAAAAACTAGTTCTTGCCTGCAGGTGCTCCCAGTCTGTTGGGAAGATGGACCTGGAAACTAGCATTTGAGGGAATTGCTGCAGTGATTATGCAAAAATATTCAGTGAAAATGTAAAGAAAGAACACATGAAGCTTCTTGGGAACGTCCAAGTAGGCTTCACAGAAGCTGTGATCCTTGCACTTAGATCAGAAGGGTGGATGAGTGGGGAGGGGAATCCTGGACCTGAAGGTGAGAGAGCACAGGGAGGGCTGGAGAGAGATGGACTTGGCACTGGATATCTCAGGCAATAAGATCATAAAGGCACTGACTTACCTACTAGAAAGCTTTGACCTTATCCTGCTGGTAATAGTGACCTATTGGTAGGTTTTTAGCAGAGAAAAAATATGGTGAGGTTTGCAGATTACTAAGCTCTCTCTAGAGGTGATGCAGAGGATGGATTGGGAGGAGAGCAAGACTGGACGCCATTTATTAGTGCTGGCTGCTGGCAAGAATGTAGAGGCCCAAACTAGAGCCATGACAGTGCAAATGGAGAGGATGGATCTGAGAGGTGAGGACCAGCATTATGCAGGCATTCATTATCTGGATTTCTGAATGATGGGTTATCTAGGAAAGCAACAGTGATCATAACATCCAAATACTCACCAATGACCCCATCACTTATAAAAACAATTCCTGTGGCAAATGCACCCAAAGATGACCTCCAATGTGCCAGACCTTTGTGTAGCCCACTTGCATGTTAACATTATTTAAGACTCCATTTTAGCAGCCTGGAGCGGGACTTTCTGCATGTGAGAGGCACATGTGGAAAGGGACTATAGGGGCCTCTAGGAGCAGAGGATGGTTCTCAACTGATAGCCAGCAAGGAAATGGGGCCTCAGTCCTATAGCCGGGAACTCAGTTCTGCCAACAACCACATGAGCTTGGGAGAGAACCCCCGAGCTTCAGAAAGGAGCATAGCCTGGTTGACACCATGATTGCAACTTTGCAAGACCCTGAGCAGAGGACCCATGTAAGCTGTGCTCGGACTTCTGACCCAGGAAAATTGGGAGATACTAAATGTGTGTTGCTTTAAGCCTTGAAGTTTGTGGCCATTATTATGCAGCAGTAGAAAACCAAAACAGTCCCTGTTCAGTCATCCTCCCCTTGAAACCAGCATCTATTCTTGGCTATCCTCAAGGTCTGTCAGCGAGCATTCTCCTTTCAGATCTGGCAGCACGGTACAATTTCCACGCAAATGTATTTCAAAGTGAAATTGCAAATCTTGCAAAAGATGTAGGATTATAGGTAGTCAATAAAAGGATTGCTGGAGAACTGCTCAAACTACTGAACAGACAAAAGAGGACGGGCAGGGTTAGACCCACTCATAATTGGCGAGAAAAACAGCCAGCATGCTGACAAGAAACTGACTTCAAAGGAGAAGGATTTGAATATGGTTGAATATTAAGACACACCTTTGAGAAAATGAAAGCTTTTAAATAATTTTTACAAAGATTATCCTCTGTATAGTTGTGTCATGAAAGTCAGAGATGTAGTAAAGTATGTCATGTTATTATGTAGTGATGTTGGAAAAATTACAACAATAAATCAGCAGTAACTCAGTCTAGCCTAAGAATTAATGCAAAATTCAATATAATCTAAATATTTCACATTTTAAATAAGGTCTTACATTTTAGATAAGCTTATTTGCCTAATTTTTACTTCATTTTGAAAGATTAAGTCTGTCAGCTCTTATTTTTTCCCTCTTATTTTGAAGTTCTGGTTTTTATTTTTAAGGGCTTTTCTAGTACCAGCTGCCCCTGGATAACAGTTATCCAGGGTCTTTTGAATTAGAGGGTAATGTTGATATGAAATGCTCACTGGAGTGGATGCTTCCTGATGGCCAGGAATCAGGGGATGGGTTTGGGTACTTCCTTTGTAGGATTGAGCCCAAAATATCCTATTTATTTCCTTCATGGATTCACAAGCCATCAGTATCTTAGATACTCAAAGATTTTTGTTCAGTACTCTCCTTGTGTCAGACAGGACACATGGTGGACCACCGAGTATAGTCTGAGTTGAATTCAAGTGTATGTAGCATCTTTTCTGCGGATGACCTGAGAAAGCCAGCTCTTATGAAGGACTCTGGAGAATTCCTGTATAGAATCTAAAAAAGGCCCACTTTACATTTGTGTTGGGCTTGTGTTTTTCACAATGCTTCCATTTCCATTGTTATTTTAATCCTCAGAGCTGTACGGTGAGATGGTCAGAGAGCCATCTGCCTTCTTCATGTACTAGAGGAGGAAGCCAGGGTCTGGAGAGATTTGAACACAAAGTCACATGGCTTGTTACTCAGGGGCCCAGAAAGAGATAGATTATTACAGCAATGGTTATGGCAGTCATCATTTACAGTGTCTGCTTCCTGACAGTCACTGTGCAGGATACTTTCATTCATATATTATTTAACCTTACAATTGGTCACAATACTGTGAAGTTGGTACAGGCATACCTTGTAGATACTGTGGGTTCGGTTCCAGGCCACTGCAATAAAGCAAGTATCTCAACAAAGTGAGTCACACAAATATTTTGGTTCCAAGTGCATATAAAAACAATGCACATTTGATGTTGATGGCTACTGACTGACCAGATTGCTGGATGCTGAAGACTGAGGTGGCTGTGTCCATTTCTTAAAATAATAATGAAGTTTGCTGCAAGGACTGAGTCTTCCTTTTACCAAATATTTCTCTGTAGCATGTGATACTATTTGATAGCATTTTACCCACAGTAGAACTTCTTTCAAAATTACTATCAGTCCTCTCAAACTCTGCTGTACTGCCTTATCAACTAAGTTTATCTAAATCTTTGCTGTCATTTCAGTAACGTTCATAGCATGTCTACAGGGAGTATATTCCATCTCAAGAAACCAATTTCTTTGTTCATTCATAAGAAGCAACTCCTGATTCATTAGCATTTTATTATGAAATTGTAGCCATTCAGTCACATCTTCAGTTCTTCTTCTCATTGTAGTTCTCTTGCTGTTTCTACCACATGTGCAGTTACTTCCTCCACTGGAGTCTGAACCCCTCAAAGTCGTCCAGGAGGATTGGAATCCACTTCTTCTAAGCTCCTGTTGATGTTGATGTTTTGCCTTCCTTCCATGAATCATGAATGTTCTTAATGGCATCTGGTTCTTTTCCAGAACGTTTTTGATGTGCTTTATTTGGGTCCTTCAGAGGCATCACTATCTATGGCAGGTATAGCCTTACAAAATGTGTTTCTTAAATAATAAGACTTGAAAGTTAAAATGACCACTTGATCTATGGGCAGCAGAATGGATGGTGTGTTAACAGGCATTAAAACAACCTTCATCTTCTTGAATATCTCCATCAGAGATCTTGGGTGACCAGGTGCATTACCAATGACAGGAATATTTTGAAAGAAATGTATTTCTGAGAAGTAGGTTTCAACAGGGGGCTTAAAATATTCAGTAAACCATGCTGTGAATAGATGTGCCATCATGCCATCTTTGTTGTTTCATTTGTAGAGGACATGCAGAGTTGATTTAGCATAATTATTAAGGGTCTCAGGATTTTCAAAATAATAGATGAACACTGGCTTTAACTTAAAGTCACCAGCTGTATCACTAGCTGTCCATTGAAGCCTTGAAGCCAGATATTGACTTCTCTTCTCTATCTATGAAAGTCCTAGATGGCCTCTTCTGCCAGTAGATGACTCTTTCATCTGCATTGAAAATCTGTTGTTTAGTGTAGCCACCTTCGCCAATGATCTTAGCTAGATGTCCTGGATAACTTGCTGCAACTTCTGAATCAGTACTTGCTGCTTCACCTTCCATTTTTATGTTACACAGAGACAGCTTCTTTCCTTAAACCTCACGAACCAACCTCTGCTAACTTCAAACTTTTCTTCTGCAGCTTCATTCCCTCTCTTAGCCTTTAAAGAATTGAAGAGAGTTAGAGTCTTGCTCTGGATTAGGCTTTGGCTTAGGAGAATGTTGTGGCTGGTTTGATTTTTATATCTAGACTGCCCAAACTTTTTCCATATCAGCCATAAGGCTGTTTTGCTTTCTTATTATGTGTGTATTCACTAAAGTAGCACTTTCAATTTCCTTCAAGAACTTTTTCTTTGCACCACATCTTGGCTGTTTGGCACAAGAGGCCTAGCTTTCAGCCTGTCTCAGCTTTGAACATTCCTTCCTTACCCAGCTTAATCATTTCTAGCTTTTGATTTAAAGTGAGAGAGGTATGATTCTCCCTTTCACTTGACCACTTCACTTATGGGCCACTGTATGGTTATTAATTGGCCTAATTTCAATATTATCGTGTCTCAGGGAATACGGAGGCCTGAGGAGAGGGAGAGAGACAGGGGAACAGTCAGAACACATACATTAAGTTTGCTGTCTTATATGGGCAGAACACATACAACATTTATGGATTAAGTTTGCTGTCCTTTATGGGCACAGTTTGTGGTGCCCTTCAAAAATTACAGTAGTAACATTAATGATCACTAATCACAAATCAAAACAGATATGATTATTAAAAATTTTGAAATATTGTGTGAATTAACAATGTGACAGATATGAGGTGAGCACATGCTGTTGGAAAAATGATGCTGAGCATGCTTGACACAGGGTTGCCACCGACCTTTAATTTGTAAAAAAACAAAACAAAACAAAACAAAAAACCCCACATTTTCTGTAATGCACAATAAAGTGAAGTGCACTAAAACAAGATGTGCCTGTATTTTTTTACATTGTTACTGCTGAGAAAACTGTGACTTTGATGGATTATTGCATCTGGCGTGTGGGAGAGCTGGGATTTAAACCGCACTTTGCCTGACTCCAGCACCTTACTCTTTCCACCACATCATGGGATGTTCTAACCGACGTCCTTTCTCCTCCACCAATACCGTGTCCCACACAGTGGGAAAGGTCTCCACAGGATGCCTGTAGAGAACCTGGCAGCCCTGTTTTCCGGTAGTTCCCCTGAGACTGACTGAAGTGAGAAAGTTAGATTAAATTAAAACCGAAGTTCTCTTTATTATGTTGCAGTGAGGACCATGATTTCAACTGTTAAAAAATCAATATAGCCTCTTTATTATTTTCTATTGTTGCTGTAACAAATTACCACAAACTTAGTGACTTAAACAACACATTTATCTTACAGTTGTGTACATTAGAAGTTCACCATGGGTCTCATTGGGCTAAAATCAAGATGCTGGCACAGCTGTTTCTTTCTGGAGCTCCAGGAGGATAATCCTTTTCCTTGCCTTTTCTAGCTTCAAGAGGCTGCTGGTATTCCCCAGCTCATGGCCCCACCTGTATCTTCAAAGCCAACATTCTTGCATCTCACTGACCGTTCTTCCATAGATATATCTCTTCTACCTCCCTCTTCTACTTTTGAGGACTCTTATGATTACATTGTACCAGTGGCTAATCCAGGATAATCTCTTCATCTTCAGGCCCTTAATTTAATCACATCTGCCAAGTACATTTTGCCACGTAAAGTAACACATCCACTGTTCTGGGGATTAGTATGTGGATATCTTTGGGGAGGATGGTGCTTGTAATACTGACTGTCTGTATTTGGTGACACTAGTTGTCAGCCCATGTTCATTCCGTAGTAACATAATTTCACCCTACTTCCTAGAACCAATGGACATACAGATTACATTTGCCTTTTGGTCAATAATCTGGTGCCTTGAAGAACTCTAGTCTTGATGAGGGTTATCTGAACAGATGGTTATGCAAAGGTCTGGAATGTGAGGAGGCTGCTGAGTCAGCAGCTGTGTCCTCAAAGCTAGGCTCTCATGTTAACTTGCTATGTGCATTGGGACAGATTGCATAGGCTCCTACCGCTGACTTTCAGTAGGGATGAGCATTCTCACCTACTGTCCAAGGTTGCTAGAATCACTTATAAGATAGTAATGCAGTTTCTAAAGTAGCATTTTTACGTATGTACATAAAATATTAAAGCCAAATATAATAATGAGGAGTGTCATGGGATTTGTGGTGGAGGAAAAACAAAACCTTATGCATGCAAATTCCAGAAAGAAAGCATGCGTGCCCCCTCCCTCCTCTGGAATCAGATTTTAATTCTGAATCCTTGTTGGACAAGGAGGTACTGAGGTTCTGAGATTATTCTCAAGCTTTAGGAGCAGGTCCTAGAAGAGGACAAGCCTGATGATAAGATGCTGCCTGGAGGTCAGAAAAGCCTTCTCCTCCTCCTTTCATAGATGCTTTGTTTAGCTTTTTGTTTACTTATATATATATTTTTGTAAATGTTAAAATAACATTTGTAATTATGGCATCAAGATGGGATATTCCTGGTGTGATGGGTCTATATCCAGCACCATTTATTTAAGACTTTAAGAAACACTCAGTGAAGCAACATTCTGGTTGGCACCATGTTATAATGCATGTCACTGGGCAGAAATCCTAATGTCATTGCATGTGGTTCTGGATGTTGTGATCATCCCACAGATAGGTGTTTAAACCTGTGAGATGTTTCTACAGGCCACTGAATTATTGTTAAACAGTAATTTCTGCCTTTTTTTCTTTTTTCTTTTTTTTTTTTTAATGTAAAGCCTGACTCATATATATTGTATAAAATGTTTTGAAAAGATGAAGGAAAACAACAAACAAAACAAAAAACAAACTAGATCTCTCCAGTAATCCCACTGGCCAGAAGTAGCCACTATAAAGTATTTTGGTACACATCTTCTTGAGGTAGACTGAGTGTGTCTCCCCCAAATTCATACATTGAAACCCTAACTCCCAATGGGATGATATCAGGAGGTGGTAATTAGGTTTGGATTAGGTCCTGAGGGTGGGACCCTCATGGTGGGATTAGTGTCCTTAGGAAGAAGTGAAAGAAAGTCAAGTTTACTTTCTTGGCTGTGTTAGGACACAGTAAGAAGACTGCTTTTTGCAAACCAGGAAGCAGGCCCTCACCAGACACTGGATCTGTCGGCACCTTGATTTTGGATGTTCTAGCCTCCAGAACTTGAGAAGTTACTATTTGTTGTTTAAGCCATTAGTTTTTGACATTTTTGTTATAGCAACCTGAACAGACTGACACCGTTTCAGATTTTCAGATTGCAATTTTTGCAAAAATGGAGTATTTTTAACAAAAATGAAATGTTATGCATAAAGGTTTTTTTTTTAGACAGGTCTCACTTTGTCACCCAGGCTGGAGTGGAGTGGCCTGATCTCAGCTCACTGCAGACTTGACCTCCTGGGCTTAAGTGATCCTCCCGCCTCAGCCCCCGAGGTAGCTGGGATAACAGGCCTGCAGCATCATGCCCTGCTAATAGTTTGTATTTTTTTGTAGGGATGGGGTTTTGTCATGTTGCTCAGGCTGGTTCTGAACTCCTGAGCTCAAGTGATCCACCGGCCTAGGCCTCCCAAAGTGCTAGGATTACAGGTGTGAGCCACTACACCCAACCACCATACATAAAGTTTTGTGATCTTCTTTATTCACTTAATAGTGTATATGATTACTTCATATCTTTACATAATCTTTTATAACATTGTTTTTAATGGCTGAGTATAGTTACATTCTGTTAATGGGTATATTTATTTAACCAGGTCCTATTTTTTGACATTTATCTTGTTTCTAGTTTCTCACAGCTGTCAACATCCTTGTAGTTATATTGCTAAATACATTCAGAATTATTCCTTAAGAATAAATTTCTAAATGGAAAAGTTGCACCCAAGGGTATGGAGAATTTTAATGCTTTTGATACTTATATTATCAAATTGACTCCTCCTGCCCCGGCAATATCATACCGTCTGAGTATGAGAGTGTGTTGGGCTTTCTACCATCCTCTCCAATG